AAACGGTAACACATTTTGGCACAAAATTTTACAGATATGTAGTTCAGCAAATCGAGAACGTACATGAAAACTTTCATGCCAATCCAAGGTCTAGAAGTATTTTTCCAAAAATATTTCCAACACTGCGTCAGGTAGAAAAATAACTGGCAGCACACTGCCAAAATTTTACAGAATTTACTGGAACAACCAAAGCATATTTTTTAAGAAAAACTTTTAGACATCAAATATCACAAGTCTAGGTTCTCCAGAAAAAATTTCAGGCCAAAAGAAGTTCAACAGTTATTTTTCACGAATTTAATTTTCAAACCGCGCCGATCAGAAATTTTCAGACATGCCTCAAATTTTATGCAATTACATTTAACACTCAAGAGGTGCATTGTAAAAGCTTTGGTAGGCATGTAGCTCAATACATTAAATAGACATGGAAGCCATTGAAAACTTGTCAATTTAAGCTACGGCATATATTATGCATATTCCAAAAATCATTCATTAAATATTAATATATTTCATGAATGTATTAAAGATTAAATATGAGTACTTAGCTTTGTCGTAATGCAGTGTCCATTAGGCACTATCCCAAAAAAAAAAAACGGGTGCCCTCTAGCTCCAAAACTGATCTATAACAGCTATACGAACAATGCTGCTCACAAGAAACAGTTATTTGGCACAAATGATGCATTAGCCGTACCATTAACACCATTTGCAGTTTTGTACCAATATTTAGCATAGAAAGATTTGACAGATTTAAATTAGGCAGAGTACTCGCATCTCTAACATTAAGAGTAATCACAGGAATAAGACCATTATTACAGAGCAAAGCAGCATACGAGATACCAGCATGATTCAAATTATTAGACCCATTAACACCAAGATTATGGAACATGAAATTATCATTATCAGCTCCCCTAAAACCAGTTTGCACACTTAACAAATTATTATATCTAAATTAGGAGCCAAACCAATTGAACCATGCACAGTATTAGTATTAACAAATTGATTAGTGTCATGCATAGTTGGAACTGAAGCATTATTCGAAGCATGAACCATACCTTGAGCATTGACACTTGTACCGATCAAAACGGACGTAAGCCGCCGATGTTTATTGTTCCTTCGCTGCACAGCCGAACCAGTAGGCCGAGACAAAGCTGAGACCGCAGCAGTCCTGGTTATGGCTTCCGCTCCAGGTTCTCGACCAAACGTTGATGCCACTGGACCGGAAGAACTTCGCTCCAGGTTCCGCAAAGACTCACCGGGAGGGAGAACAGCGCCACCGTCGTTTTGCGCACTGTCTCTGTAATGTCTGCTAGAATAAGAGGAAAAAAGAAGGTAGGTTGAGGAAGAAGCAGGAAAACAAGAGAGAAAGGAGTGGTGAGAAAATAGGAATTCAATTCAAAAAACTCGATATCCAAAATTACAAGCTACCCTCACTACTTAACCCATGATTCTCGGGATTACAGCTGTTTATTCAACAAAAATCAAATAACGAACACGGCAGTTGCCCTTGAATTCCGCCGCTATTCTTTATTCCCAACGACGTCGTCTGACTCTCTCTCTTCAACGATCTCAACAGTTTATTCCAACGACGCCGTTTCCTTTCCTCCATTCTTCATCAGTTCGGCCTTCACCCTCTTCCCACATTCTTTCACCACTGCCCAATCCTTCCTGCCTTTCTGTTCAGCATCCAGAGCCGTTACAGTACCCACCCCTGCAGAGGATCCTTGTCCCCAAGGATCAAAGGTGGGAAACTGCTTCACAACATGGTAGTAATCCTCCCAAGTTGCTTCCTCCTTTGGCAGATTGGCCCATTGGACCAAGATTTGTACCACAGCCTTATTGTTTCGTTTAACCAATATCTTTCCCAATGTGGCTACTGGATGTGCCAGCACTTGACCATCAGGACCCACTTGAGGTGGTTCAGCCTGAGCTACAACCCCTCCCCCTATCTTTCGTTTGAGCTGCGACACGTGAAACACAAGGTGCAACAAGGACCCGGGAGGCAGCTGGAGTTTGTAAGCCACCTTCCCAACCTTTTCAATAATTAAATAGGGACCAAAATATTTAGACGATAGCTTAAGATTAGTTCTCACAGCTACAGAAACTTGTCTATAGGGTTGAAGCTTAAGATACACCCAATCTCCCACCTCAAATGTCCTCTCACACCTGTTCCTGTCAGCCTGCTGTTTCATACGATTTTGGGCCTGCAATAAGTTGTCCTTTAAGGCTGTCAGTACCACATTTCTGTTTTCCACCCAACTATGATTCTCATCCTCAGGATTCCCCCTTAGGGATATCATGGGAGGTGCATAGCCATAGAGGGCCTGGAAGGGAGTGCATTTAAGAGAGGAATGGTAGTTGGTGTTGTACCAATATTCGGCTAGATGAAGCCACTTTGCCCATGCCTTTGGTTTCCGGAAGATCATACACCTCAGATAAACCTCCAAACACTGATTAACTCTTTCAGTTTGCCCATCCGATTGAGGATGGTAGGCAGTAGAAAGTTGAAGTTGGACCTGCAATTTCTTGAACACTGTCTGCTAGAATCTGCTAGTAAATACTTTATCCCGATCCGAAATGATCTCTTCTGGTAACCCATGCAGTTTATAAATGTTCTCCATGAAAATTTGAGCTATATTTTTGGCAGTGTAAGGGTGGTTTAAAGCAATGAAATGTGCATACTTGGTTAATCTGTCAACAATCACCAGAATTACTTCCTTGTTCCCAGACTTTGGTAATCCTTCAATAAAATCCATGGATATGCTCTTCCAAGCCTCTTCTGGAATGCTAAGTGGTTGTAAGAGGCCTGGACTTGCCACATTTTCATGCTTGCACCTTTGGCAAGTATCACATTCTCTGACCATCTCAACTACTTCCTGTTTCATCCCCTTCCAGTAAAATAATTGTTTCATTTTATGATAAGTCCCATGCTGCCCAGAATGTCCTCCCAAGGGTGACTCATGGAGTTGCAACATTAACTTCTTTCTCAGATCCCCATGGGACCCAATGTAGAGCCTCTTCTTATACCTCAGTAGCCCACTTGATACAGACAGATTTGGATGGTCTGTATTATTGGTTAGGACTGCCTCTAACATTTCTGTTGCCCACTGATCCCCTTCATAGCTGTGTACAATGTCCTTCATCCATTGTGGCTGAATGGAGGAGATAGCCATCAATGTGGGTTCAGTCTCAATCATTCTCCTAGAGAGTGCATCAGCCACCCCATTGTCCACCCCTTTCTTGTACTGAATTGAGTAATCCAATCCCAATAATTTTGTCAGTCCTCTCTGTTGAAGGGCAGTGGTAATCTTCTGTTCCAGGAGAAACTTTAGACTATTGTGATCGGTTTTAATGACAAAATGCCTTCCCACTAAGTAAGCCCTCCATTTTTCTACTGCATTAATGATGGAGAGGTACTCCTCATATATGGATAGCCCTAAGTGTTTCCCACCAAAAGCTTTGCTGAAAAATGCAATGGGTTTGCCCTCTTGTAGTAGGACTGCTCCCATCCCATGGTAACTGGCATCTGCTTCCACTACAAACTGCTTTTGGAAATCAGGCAATGTGAGGATAGGGGAACTGCACAAGGCTTTCTTAAGCTGTTCAAAGGCTATTTCTGCTTCAAGGATCCAAGCAAAGGCATTCTTTTTCAGCATATTGGTGAGGGGCTTGCTTATAACTCCATAATTCCTGATGAACCTTCTATAGTATCCAGCCAAACCCAAGAACCCCCTGAGAGCCTTAATGGTTAAGGGTTTTGGCCAGGCAGCCACTGCCTCCAGTTTTGCTGGATCTGTCCTCAAGCCCTCCCTGGAGATGATGTGCCCCAAGTACTCCACCTGAGTCTTAGCAAATGAACATTTACTTAATTTAGCTACTAAGTGATTATCCCTCATGATCTGCAACACTCCTCTCAAATGCTGCCAATGTGTCTACCAATCTGGGCTGTACACCAAGATATCATCAAAGAAAACCAGAACTGACTTCCTCAACATAGGTTTGAATACCAAATTCATGAGTGCCTGGAAGGTAGCAGGCGCATTGGTGAGTCCAAAGGGCATTACTTTGAACTCATATAGCCCTTGGTACCATCTCCCTTGTGGTCTGATGGTATTCGGTATGGACTTTCAAAAGAAAGGCCCGGGATCGATTCCTATCCCAAGTGTGGGTCAGAATATTGTTGCTAAAGCGATCCTGGGCCCTGCACTCTGTACCCTGAGCCCTGGGCTCTGCGCCCTGGTCTCGGGGCCCTGAACCCTAGGCCCTGTGCCGCCCGAACCAAAGGCCCTGTGCCCCCGAACCAAAGGCCTTGAGCCACCCCGAGCCATAGGCACGGAGCCCCCCGAACTCTAAGTATGGCTCGGATTGAATGCTGTTGAATAAAAAATGGTCCTGGCAGAACTTGGTACGCTTGGTACTTGGAACCAACGGGAAGTCTGATTCCAGGGCATCAGAACCTGTGTGGGACGTTGTGATGCCGTGTATAACCCAGAACAGGATTACAGGGTCTACGGAGCCCCAACGTACAGACCGGGGATCTCAACAAGTCCTCTACAACTCAAGGAGGAACAGGGACCCATGCTTGTACCGAGAAGCGCTGCGAGACGTGCCGGAACCCTGCGAGCCGTGATCTAGGGGACACATAGGCGGCACCAGGCGTAACAACCAGGGGCACATGCCCCGGACCTTGGGCGAAACGAGGTGAACCCATAGCACCGGGACGAACTAAAAGCGACTCCAGGAGCCATCCAAGTAACGAGCCTCTGCGGAGGCATCTGATGTAATCTTAAATATATATATATATATATATATATATATATATAGCCCTTGGTGAGTCCTAAAGGAAGTTTTGTATTCCTCACTTTCCCTCATCCTGATCTGGTGGTAACCAGCTCTCAAATCCAGCTTAGTGAAACAGTTTGTCCCAGCCAGTTCAGAAAACAAATCTTCCACTAAGGGAATAGGAAATTTATTCTTAACTGTGATGTTGTTCAGAGCCCGGTAATCTATACAAGAAGGACTGGGGATGCAAAGGGGGAAGAGCTGGGAACAATTATTCCAGAGTCAAGCATTTCCCCTACCATTTTCTCTATTATGTTCTTTTGATCATATGAGTACCTATAGGGTCCTAGGTTGATGGCTTTTGCCCCAGGAACTAATGGGATTGAGTGATCCAGTGATCTCTGTGGGGGTAGAGTTTTTGGTTCCTCAAAAAAATCAGTAAACTCCTCAATCAACTGTGTTAGTTCAGGCCATTGTTCCTGTGTTGATAGTTGGTGCAGTTGGTAGTCCAACCCACTCTCCTCACTAGTGTCTTGGCATTGGACTAGAAACCCTTGCACTCTAGTCTTTTTCCATTTCCTTAACTGTTTCTCATCTGCCTCCTTCAACATGACCCTTTTTGGCAATCCTTTCAAGAAAACCTTCTTCCCATCCTTATGGAAGGATATCCCAGCAGGTCTAGTGTGGAGTTGAATTGGGGCAAATATGTCTACCCAATCCATCCCTAGAACCATGTCACAGCCTCCCAACCTAAGTAGCCTGAAGTCCTTTCTGAATTGTTCATTCTGAATCTGCCATTCCAGGTTATTACACACAGTGTCACAGACCATCTTCTCGCCATTAGCTACTGTCACAGTGAGAGGGCTGGCCTTCACAGCTTCCTTCCTTAATTGGTTCAGTATCTTAGGGTCAAGGAAGCTATGGGTGCTTCCACTTTCCACTAGGATTACTATTTGTTGCTTCTGAATTTTCCCTAGTAGCTTAATGGTGTTCATTCCTTCTCTCCCTACCACAGCACACAGGGAAACCTCCCCTTCTCCTGTGTCTTCTCCAACTACAGGTTCTTCCACTATTTCACCCAATTCCACCTCTTCAATAATATTGAAAGTTGGGCCTCTACACCTGTGCCCCACCTGCCATGGCTCAAAACACCTGAAACATTTCTTTTGCTCCCTGAGCTGGGCTTTAAATTTTGCTATATCTGGGATTTTGGTTGCTGTACTTTGTGTTGAAGTGGTGGTATTTTGGTTGGTGGAGGAAGTGGGGTTGGCAGTATAGTTGGGCTTGATATTGTCACTGGGGCCTGAGTTGTAGGTTTTTAGGTTTTGGTTTGGCCTTGGGTTCCAGGTAGTAGTAGTCTTAGGGAGTTCACAGGATCTTAAACCCTTATCAAAGTGTTTTGCAAACCACATGGCATCCCCTAGGTTCACAGGCATGGCAGTCCTTACAAAACACCTTAAATTCTGTTTTAGTCTGGCTATGTAGTTTTCTAGGAAGTAAGAGTCAGTCAGGTAGGGGTGGCTTTGGAGCAACAGGCTTTTGAACTCTTCATACTTATCATTGAAATCATCTAACCCCCCTGTTTGTTTAAGGACAACAAAATCTTCCATCACAAACACAATGCTATCCCTAAACCTTCTGCACACTACTTCTTCAAAGTGTGGCCATTGGAATCCTTCTCTTAGTCCATTCACATACCCCTCATACCACAAACCCACCTTCCCGGATAGGTTTACAAACAACAGATTCAATATCTCACCTCTAGGGATATGGGATAGCATAAAGAAACGCTCACACCTAGTAATCCATAAATGCGGGTGATCATAGTCAAATAGGGGGAATTCAGCCTTATACCTCATCAAGTAACCTCCATTCTGGCCAGGATGATGCTGCCTTCCACCCTCGGGTCGTCTGGGGGCCCACTCCCTCTCTGGGGTTGCAAAGAGCACTTCCACTTCATTGGGATCCCCTAGCTCTTGGTTCATTGGGGCTTACTCAACTCGTCGCCCCAAATAGTTACTGGACTCACCCTGTTGGAACTGTGGTGGTGGCCTCTCCGGAGCTTGGCCCTGCACGGATGTCTGCCCCGGCGTACCCTTTATGATCGGAGGGTTTGGCCGATTCAGGCGCAAGATTTCCAGTATTTGTTCCTGGAATTGGCTCAACTGGGAAGTCAGATGATCCTGTGATGCTTGAGCCCTAGTCTCAATCAAACTCTGGAGCTCAACAAACTGGGTTTCCATTGAAGCCATTGAAAACTTGTCAATTTAAGCTACGGCATATATTATGCATATTCCAAAAATCATTCATTAAACATTAATATATTTCATGAATGTATTAAAGATTAAATATGAGTACTTAGCTTTGTCGTAATGCAGTGTCCATTAGGCACTATCCCAAAAAAAAAAAACGGGTGCCCTCTAGCTCCAAAACTGATCTATAACAGCTATACGAACAATGCTGCTCACAAGAAACAGTTATTTGGCACAAATGATGCATTAGCCGTACCATTAACACCATTTGCAGTTTTGTACCAATATTTAGCATAGAAAGATTTGACAGATTTAAATTAGGCAGAGTACTCGCATCTCTAACATTAAGAGTAATCACAGGAATAAGACCATTATTACAGAGCAAAGCAGCATACGAGATACCAGCATGATTCAAATTATTAGACCCATTAACACCAAGATTATGGAACATGAAATTATCATTATCAGCTCCCCTAAAACTAGTTTGCACACTTAACAAATTATTATATCTAAATTAGGAGCCAAACCAATTGAACCATGCACAGTATTAGTATTAACAAATTGATTAGTGTCATGCATAGTTGGAACTGAAGCATTATTCGAAGCATGAACCATACCTTGAGCATTGACACTTGTACCGATCAAAACGGACGTAAGCCGCCGATGTTTATTGTTCCTTCGCTGCACAGCCGAACCAGTAGGCCGAGACAAAGCTGAGACCGCAGCAGTCCTGGTTATGGCTTCCGCTCCAGGTTCTCGACCAAACGTTGATGCCACTGGACCGGAAGAACTTCGCTCCAGGTTCCGCAAAGACTCACCGGGAGGGAGAACAGCGCCACCGTCGTTTTGCGCACTGTCTCTGTAATGTCTGCTAGAATAAGAGGAAAAAAGAAGGTAGGTTGAGGAAGAAGCAGGAAAACAAGAGAGAAAGGAGTGGTGAGAAAATAGGAATTCAATTCAAAAAACTCGATATCCAAAATTACAAGCTACCCTCACTACTTAACCCATGATTCTCGGGATTACAGTTGTTTATTCAACAAAAATCAAATAACGAACACGGCAGTTGCCCTTGAATTTCGCCGCTATTCTTTATTCCCAACGACGTCGTCTGACTCTCTCTCTTCAACGATCTCAACAGTTTATTCCAACGACGCCGTTTCCTTTCCTCCATTCTTCATCAGTTCGGCCTTCACCCTCTTCCCACATTCTTTCACCACTGCCCAATCCTTCCTGCCTTTCTGTTCAGCATCCAGGGCCGTTACAGTCTCCCAGAATTTGCGCAGGCATCCGATCATTGGCCATACCAGCGATGGATGTTCGCAGCACATCCCCAACGTTATCTAAGCCCTCCGATCCTCCATGCAGCGACCGAATCGCCGGAATAGTCTCCAATGACGAAGATGCGATCCGAGAATCGAAAATCGGAGGTGACCACCGATCTACCATCTGATCATTCGAGGAAGAGAGGCGGGGGCGACAGAATTGGATTCCAGGGGATTCGCCGTGGTGGTGGTTCGCTCGACGGAATTGTTTTCGAAGGTTGAAGCGACTGGAAATCAGACTGCGGCGATGATCCGGATCGATGGTTGCGGCGGCGGAACTGGTTCCTGGCGATGACACTGCTGCCTTCTCCTCCGATTGCCATCTACGGCGCGACATGGAGTCGCGAGCGGTGGGCGGAGTCGCTCACATCCAAAGCCCAGAGAAAAAAAAAAATGAAGCCAATCTACGACAGTTTGATGCCGATCAAGACAGCGGCGATACCATCGCGACAAGTAATGATAGATCAGCCAAAAACAAACAAAATCTGTGATTTCTGTTCCATCATGTATTTCTTCGTTCGTCGGAGCACGGGATGAATCTAACTCAGGCCATAACGCTTAAGATGTGGAGCAAAGCGCTGATAACGTGTTGTAAGAATATTATAATAGAGAGATCAGGAAAGAAGGCCAGCGAGGTTTTTCATTCATCGTTAGAATTCTTATACAAAGGTATCACCCAATATAAGGTAATAACAATACATATAAAAGGTAGTCACCTATCAATTACAACTTCTACCATATATATAATAATGTCCATATCCATATATATAATAATGTCCATATTAATATTTACAACAAATTCATCTTTAATGTTTCAAATTTTAATAATGAAGTATGTTCCAAAATAATTAGCTTGCAATGAGTAGTTATCGTCGAAGGATTTTTCACTCATTAAATCGCTTACCTTACCACTTAAATTAGACAGGATTTCCTCAAACAAGATAGGACTACAAAGGAAGTTGTGCTAGACCTAATAAAATTTGAGTTTTCAGACAAAGACAATAATCTAATAATTAAAGCTATGTTTAGATCCAAGGCTATAGCTTGTTTACGTATCCCGCAAGATTCATGGTTGTGCTATAGATAGGTTTAATTTCATGTGGCCTTTAAAGGATTAATAGGCCTAGATGTCAAATTATACGAGGGTTGAACTCTCTCACAAATCACTATTGCACTAGCTCACATATAAGAGTGACACTATACATATTTGTTTAGAATTTGTACTTTGTTTGGTCTTCTGGGTAAAATTATATATAAAAATTCATTCTATAACTCAATTTAAAACATAAGATGTGAGAGCAACCCCAACATTTAAAGCAATCCAAGAAAAGGGCAAACTGTTATGTTTGTTGGTGACCTCACGTATGCAGATAGTTACTTAACCATGATAATATAAGATGGGATTCATGGGGTAGATTTGTTGAGAGAAGTACTGAATATAAACCTTGCATTTGGACTGCAGGAAATCACGAGATAGATTTTTTCACATGAAATTGGCGAAACTAAACCCTTTAAACCTTTTACTAAACGGTATCACGTTCCCTATAAAGCATCAGTTGATAGCATTGAAACATTTTGGTACTCAATCAAGAGGGCTTCAGCATATATCATAGTTCTATCGTCATATTCAGCATATTCAATTTGGCTTAACGAGCAATAATAGATAAAGGTATCTCGGGGAAAGAAACACATATGATACAACACTTGGGATTATATATGCATTTGAATTCCCTATCTCAGGACTAAAATCATCTTAGCCATGCACATCCATTTTAAATAAAGAGTATCATGTTTGATACACACAAGGACATGACATGATGAGAACTTATAGAATTGTATTAAGTAATAATGTGATTACAAATGTACAGATTACAAGTATATATAAATAGAGAGTCTCAGATTCTCAGTGAGACTGGGATAGGGAGTCATAATCTAACTCAAATACATAGAGTCTTAATACTCCCCTCAAGCACAAGATACAGTAGTGACTTGTACCATATCTCTAAGAAAAGAAAATTTAGGACCAGGTAGAACTTTAGTAAAGATATTTGCCAGTTTATTTTGTTGAAATAAAATTAACTTGTATATCTCGATTTGCAATTCTGTCTGTAACAAAGTGATAATCAATTTTCACATGTTTAGTGCGAGCATGAAAAATGGGATTTGCACACATGTATGTAGCACCAAGATCATCACACCACAGCTTGAGAATAGAAACACCAGTCCACCAATTTCACGCAGCAAAGAGAGAATCCAAATTACCTCACCACAGACATCTGCTAGAGCTTTACATTCAGCATTAGTAGAAGATCTAGCAATAGTTCTTTGTTTCTTACATACTCATGATATAAGATTGGAACCAATAAAAACAGCATAACCACTAATTGACTTACGATCCTCAGGACAGTCAACCCAATCAGAGTCAGAAAAGGCATGCAATTCTGTAGATACTGACTTTCTTTTTCGTAGACCATAACTCCATAAGTAATAGTTCCCTTAACATACCTCAGTACGCGTTTCAATTGCTCCCAGTGAGAGACCGTAGGTGCATGCATATGTTGACAGAGTTGATTGACCGCAAAGGACAAATCTGGACAAGTAACCGTAAGGTACTGTAAAGCTCCAGCCAAACTCATATAGTGTGTAGCATCATCATGTAAATCTGCATCAAAGATGGTGGGTTTCGAAACAGATATAAGAGTAGCTAATGATTTACAATCTGTCATGCCAACACGTTTTAAAATATCTATCATGTACTTTTGTGAGAAAGCAAAATTCCATCACTACACTTAACAGTTTCAATCCCAAGAAAGAAACCAGGTTCACCAAGATCCCTAATCTTGAATTCAGTTGATAATTTTGCTAGTAGAGTACTGACAATATTCTTATCACTACCGAGTACAAGAATATCATCAACATATACTAGAACATAAATGAAAGTTGAATCTTGCAAGTAGCAAAATAAAGATATATCTGTTTTCGAGGCTTTAAACCCGGTTGACATCAGAAACGCATGCAAGTGATTAAACCAAGTTTCAGGGGCCTGTTTTAATCCATATAGAGAACGTTTCAATAGGCAAACATGATTAGGAAACTGTTTATCAATATACCCAGCTGGCTGTTTCATATAAACAGTTTCAGATAATGTCCCATTCAAAAAGGCATTGTGCACATCAAACTGCTTAACAACCCAACCAAAGGATATAGCTAAAGATAGAAGTAACCTGACAGTTGTGGGTTTGACCACAGAGCTAATGTGTTGAAAAAATCCTGTCCAGGTACTTGATTAAATCCTTTAGCTACGAACCTTGCTTTGTGTCGTTAAATTGATCCATCAGCTTTCCTTTTTGTGAGAAAAACACATTTGTACCCAATAACATTCATATCTGTTAGTGATAGAACAAGACACCA